ATGCCCCTTGTGTCCTGCTTGTGGGAGTGCAGGTGGATTCTTGACCTTATCGCGTGCATAGGTTTTGTCTTTTATCTTTTGTTGTTGTTCTTGTGCTAGGAAGTGTCAGCAGTTGAAATGCAAATGGCTGAGGTCGGGCACCTCCTGTAGGGCTCTGGTTTAAGCAACCCGCGCTTCAACCTTAGGGAAGCATAGTAGGGGAAGAGCTAGCGTGTTATGCGTGAGGTGCTGCTGAGGTGGGAAGAGCTCTTGGGGAAGCCAGGCGCCCCGCTCCTCAGGAGGAGGTATAGAAAATGGCTCATCTTTTTGTCTTCCTTGAAAAGAAGAGGCAAGAAGGAGTGTCGTCCTGCAGGCTCCTGTCGTGAGTAACCTGCCCACGCCACAGCGCCGCTTGTAGTGCCAGCCTAATTACAGGCTTGTGAGGAGTGACAGTAGCCTTTGAAAACGCAGAGTTAATGAAAAACACCGGGCAGCTGTGGCATCTGCCTGGCCAAGTTGAACTGTTTGTGTTGACTTTCTTATTGGTTAGTATTGCTTAAAAACAAAGGTTAAATTTATTTATTTATTTATTATTTATTTACATTGTATGATGGTAATAATGCTGCAGTAAATCCTAATAAAAAGAAACTTGTATAGGGTAGAGGTTGACAGCTTTTGGAGATAAATTTTGGAAAAAGTGTGGATGCGGATTAAATTCTAATAGTAATGTTTTGAAAAGAATAAAAATTCCAGAAACAGCTGAATTTACAATTCAAGAAGACCTATAGTCATTTATGGGGGACAGCTGACTTAAGATGCTCCTGTGGCCTATGATTCCTACACTGATGCCTTCAAAAAAAGTATGATGCCTTCAAAAAAAAAAGTATATGTTGCAGCTTTATTTTTTCTTCTGATGTTTAGAGAAGATGTCCCTGAGGTACATCTAGAGGGCCTATCTGTAAGAAAGAGCCTAGCAGAATATTTTTTGTAATTAATATGTTTAAATAAAAAAATGTTAGGGGATCAGCTAAGGGTGGGCCCGGATAGCAAGACTTGGTGTTTGCTCTATTGGTAATTACTCTTTCCTGTCTCACTCAGAAAATTTTGGAATCTATTGAAGTTTGATTACTTAGCCAATATAGCATTTTTAGTTTGAAGATTTGCAGTTGTCAGAATGTTTGTTTTAATGGTAATTGAAAAAACATCTTAAAAAGTGAGAACTTAATAGGTCATTCTGAAGAAATTGCCCTGGATAAAGAATAGCTAGAAAGATTTTTGCAACTGGTTTATAAGGTAATAATGCATACATATCATGTGCCATGAAGAATATAGTAGATGCTTTTAGAATCGCTTTATAGGAAGGATATAGGGGATAAATTAAGACATTAAGATTTAAAAAAAAAAAAGAGTAGCATGTGAGTACTAGGCTTTATCATGCCATTCATTTTTGTTGCAGTCGCCTTTCTTTTTATTTGTAACTTATTTCAGAAGGATGCACTCTCCCTCTCTCTGTTTTTACTTGTGTAGGAGTTAATTATGGTACATGTATTAGAGAATGAAATGTGACAAAGGTGCAGAATATCTTCTTGAAATTTGGTAGAGGCACTCAAATGTGTTGCCAGCTGTTTGTCAGCCCATCTCAACTCTTCCAAAATCTCTAGTGTTTGGAATCTGTCACTGGAAATAAACATTTTATTTCACAGGCGATAGATACCATTAAGATCAGTAGTGTGGTTGCTGAACATAACATAATACATTTACATAATACATGTGCCTTCACCTAAAAATAGGCCTTCTCAGGTAGTTTCCCTTCAGAGTTATGAGATACTGATTTAGGGGTAGATTATGCATTTTTTTCACAGTGCTTAGTTCAGGAACTCTAATTGGGAAAGCTGTATGATAGTGAAATGGAAGTGTAGCTATACTTAATTATAATCACAGAATAGGTCCTGTGTTTGAACACAGCAAAATTGATAGATACTAATAATTTTATTGATTTTTTTTTTTTTTTTTTAATATTGCACTGATTGTTTATCTAATACTGGGGTAAGTCTCTTAATTCAAAATGTGCTTCCCAAGACTCTGGGTTTACTGTGGAATAGGGGAAAGCAGCAGTTTTATGCTAGAAAAATCTAGTTGTCTAGCTTTTACTTTATTAAAATAGTTAGGTTTAAAGAAAATGAATAGCCTTACCAGTCAGCCTTAGATACTTTGGAAACCTCATACAGCAGAATGCTAAATTTTGAGAATTCAAACAGTTTAGTAGTTTCAGATGTCAGGCACACCAAGAAACAAATCTATTCTTAGCATTGTGGTTCTTCCTGTGTTGTCCTAGATCTTGCCTCGATAGTTTGCACTTTAATGTAGTAAGGAGACAAAAGTTTATTTTGGTACTAACCAGGATGGTTTGCACCATGGAATAATATATCACTATTTACATATCTTTTCAGATGTTTACAATGGAACTGTGACCTTTCTGCCTTTGGAGGAAAGCAGTGAAGGAAAATACCAGATTAAAAAGTGCAATATTTATCAAATTCAACTTACACACATAAAAGATGAGGAATGGTAAGCCCTGGGAGTGAGAGAGGAAGCAAACCCTGAGTTACTGCAATGATCGCGCCATGCTTTAGTATTGGTACCTAGGCCATTTGGTTTGCGTAATTTCCAGCTTGAGTAGTAAATGATGGTAGTGGTGTGATCTTACTGCATAGTGTTCAGTTACATATAAAAAGGCTACAATACCCAAATGAACACAAACCAAATCTGCTTCAACTTTGAATGTATACATTGACTGTACATGTGTGTGAACTAGAAAAAGGATATGATGAGGAGCCAGTTCTGATGAGGAACTGGCTATGCCTGTGAGGGGCCAGGTTCTGTGGGCGTTAGTAAGGTTGAGGGTCAAATTGGAATTGCTGTTTGGAACCTACTGAGCTTCAGTCATTGCAGTGTAGACCATTGCAGCTTGGGCCTGAGCATCTGAGGGCATAGCTCTGATGAAACCTAAATAAGGTTAGAGAGGATGAAATGTGCCAAATGATGTATTTTCCTCCTAAATTTTCCTGTTGTTTTCATGAATTTCTTGAATTCACTTTTACTAGTTAGTGTTTGGATATTGCTAGATTGGGTTGCTCATCATATGCCAGTCCTTAGTCATTGTGCTAAATGTAGCATGGACTCTCATACAGTGTTTGAATTGGCAGATAATGAGCTTCTAATAAAATTCAGGGGAGACCGTTCCACTATTCAGTAACTGTTTTATTTTCCTTTTTTTTTTGTGTATTACATATTTTCTTATTCCCCAGTCTACTTTTACAGGTCTGTTTGATTTGCTGATTTTTTTTCCACTTAATAATTCTTTTATTTTATTTTTTTTTAATACACTGTATTTATACAAAGTTTTTATTTTATTTTTAAAGGTCTGTGTCTGTTGTAGCTCCATTTCCGGAAGATTGGTTTTCAGATGGAGTTGCATACCCGAAACTAGCATGGCTTGGAAATGACCTTTTGTCCAAACTGGCTAAATGGTCTGTGGAACAAAAGCCCAGTGACTTTAAAAGTACACTCTCGCTCATTTCTGTAGCAAAATACAGCAAAGTTTACCAAGACCTTAAGGAAAAATACAAAGAGATGGTAAAGGTAAGTTTAGCAATAAATGCAGTAATAATATGCTTTCCTATAATTGTTTTATTATTGTTTGTTTAGTGAAACCGCTGCTTTCACTGACTTTTTTTTTTTTTTTTTTTTTTTTTTTTTTTAAATAAAAGAAGCAATTTAATTGAAATGTGTGGTTTATGGTTTGGTGGTTTGTGGGTTTTTTTTGTTTATGTGAGAAGCAATTGATTTAGTGTTTAGAAGAACTGAACTGCAAAAGCAAGATTTGGAGCCAAATTCACACTAAATATCTGGAGGAGTTAAATACTTTCCAGAATGTTTCCCTTCAAATAAGAATGAAGCAGTGGGTCAGTGGATGTAAATACTAAGTCATCTACAGTAGAAGGCATAAATAAAGCACCACCTTCTACAAAACCTGAAAGAGTCTGGAAACAGCACTGGTTCATAAGCAGGTTAAATTTCCTATTACTCTTTTTAAATTTAGATGCAATATTAATGCATCTTTCTGAGTTGGATGAACAATGTTGTAGTATTGGTTTATCCTGGGAATCCTGAAAAATTACAGTGATCATGTTAAGTGCTGTATGAAGTAATATCTTTATATACCAGACTCAAGCTAAAAGTAAAAAAATTGGTTAATGTTTTTGTAAAACGTATTGTGAAAATGTTGAAAGGTTTTACTGTATATCTGTAATAATAGACAGATATATACAAGCAGAAAATTGGACTTGTGGGTAAGGTAAATTGTTCAGTCTTTAGCTCCGCAGTTGACTTAGTGTAGTGTTGAGCGTGTTAATCTTTGTTTTAATTCCTCATTTACAAAGCAAGGATAATACTTCCACTTTCTTACTTCCTACTTCAGATGTTGATTCTTTGGGTCCTGGTTGTGCCAGGATAATTCTACACCTGTTACACTGTGAAAATAAATTTACAAGCGCTCATGTTATCGGTGTTGCACATAGCAACAATAATATAAGTATTTTTCTTCTGAGACAGTTGAGCAAAAGGATGCATGCTCTATTACAGAACAGATGCAGCAGTTTACCGGTTGTGAACTGCACGTATGGAGCCATAATGTTCTTGGAAACTTTGTTGATTGGATGGAGGCAGACATTCTTTACGCCATTATTATTTTGTGTGACTCACTAAATCAGACAGTCTTTATTTACATTCTTTGTTTATATTTTTAATGAGGTTAAAATGCAAAATTTGTGAAGTGCAGAAACCTACTGAAGTGGATGAGTATCCAGATCACTCGTAACTGACAGCTTTTTGAAGTAATTTCAGATGGTGCAGAAAACACTTTCTCTTACTTTTTTTTTTTTTCTGAAGGTTTGGCCTGAAGTGACAGATCCTGAGAAATTTGTTTATGAAGATGTTGCCATTGCCACTTACTTGCTGGTAGGGAACTGCTTTGACTAATAATATTCTTCAAGGTTCTATTTCCTAATAATATAACCTCTCTAAAGAAAATTCTTTTAAATAGAGTGACCTGAAGTTATTACAGGCATGCAAGGCAAAAAGAAAGGGGTAGGAGAAAGGGGTTTTTGCATTATGTTTGTTTGTTTGTTTGTTTGCTTTTGCTGTTATTTAAGCAGAGACACAAAGTTCTTATTACGATGTTTTCAAGTGTAGCTTAAACTGAAAGTGGATTTAATGTCTGTAGCTCTATTCAAGTTGTGTTTGTATTCTGATCTCCTCTGGTAGTACTCTCAACAGCATTTCAGGCATTTACATATAATAAGTGATTATAGAAGGTAAGCATTTTGTAACAGAATTGGGAAAAAATGTATTGTGACGAAGCAAGGGAAAAATCAGTTGATGTGGTTTTTTACTCTGCCCACTGGCACAAAAATCAGCACAATAACAATGAAATTTGAGTTCAGAGAGATACTAAAACTTCTTTGTGAAAATATGATAAGGATTTGCAGTTCTCTGTCATGGGAAGTTTGACCTATGCAGACAAGATGTTGTTTTGTTGGGGGTTTTTTTAAGTGACAAAGCAAAATTACTGACGTAGCAGAAAAATAGTGATTAGATGGACTGATTTGGAGAACAGAAGCTATTGTTTTATACATATTGCTATGACTTGTTAATTTTATGCTAAAGGCTTTTCACTGTTTTGCCTTTCCCCGATAAAAGTTCAGCTCAAATCCCATCTTGAAATGCAATAAGGTCTGTCTGTAGATGCTAGGAATGCAGATAAATGCTTTGTGCAATTCTCGAAGGCACCTACCTATTTCAGAACCTATGACCATTCTGCCACCTGCAGTCACTAGAAACCTCCAGTTCTTAAACAGCATCAAAATTTGTCACTATGTAGGCACATCAATATTTTTTGACTGCTATCCAGGGTGCAGTTAAGAGCATGTCTACTTTCAAGTATAATGTAAATATGTCTTGCATTTTCTCTGAAACAGTGTTTTTAAATAAGTTAGCTCATTTACAGAATTTGTTGAGGAGTAATTTATTTTAATAATCGACTGTTTAAGTTTAGAACCCCAGTTTCTTTTCCCATGAAGATTTTTAAAATTGTCTGAGGAAGCCTGACTGACCTAGGCTACTCTAAAAATCTTGGTTGTCATACGTTGTTGTGACAGAACTTTCTACATCAGAGAAATGATCATGGTGAAGTGGGCAGATAGTTGGATTGTTTTAGGTCCCTTCCAGCTGAACTATTCTATTCTATTATACTGGCTTGTGGAAAGACCTATGTAACAGACCTATCTTTTACCACCATGATAATATTATATGTTGAAAACTATTTCCTGTATGTTAGGAATTATAACAGTTGGAGCCACAGAACAGTTCTGTAATAACTGGCTTATATAAATGAAAGCTTAAAGTATGATATTAATCTAACCTTGCAAAATTTTTAGTTACCTATATGATGGTATATAATAACTCATTATTTAGAAGTACATTAAACAGGTGGTTAAGAGAAGGTAGATCTAGTGTTAAATTGTTATGGATTTTCAGCATCTAGATTGGTATGATGGGAGGAGGGAGCATCTGACCTCATGTTACTCTGCAGTCATATTGAGGTCACCTACTGTCTAGGCACATGCCCAAAGAAATAATTATTCAGTTTGCATCATGAGAAACTCAGCAGGGGATGGAGGATAGGTGTGATCTGTCTAGGAGGTGATTAGGGATTTCTGGGGTACAGCCTGGAGTACAAAAGTGCAATGATTGGTACATTTAAAAGTGTAAACACAGCCTGATAATCTCATGGATTATATCTGCAGCTTCCTTCCCTCCAGCAAAACAGACAAATTAACAAGCAGCAATGTTACAAATACTGATTTTCGTGATTAAATACTCTTGATGATTTTTGTTAGTCATAGTAAAAAGTAAGCATGCAGAGTTGATGAATGTGTGCTCTGTAGCTTCTCATTGAAGGAAAAAGAGTTTGATGGTGATAGAAAGAGACTAATCCATGCCCTGCAGACAAACATCCAATTATTAACTAATTGTGAATTATGTAACTATGTAAATTGCGTAACTACTTACGTACAGAGCAGGGACTAGAATTTGGCTAAAAGCTTTGGGGTCCCTTTAGCTGATGTAGAATTTGAGGCAGTTGACTGTTGCTAGGCAAGTTACACTTTATTCAATAGAAAGTGATGTTACATGTACTAATGTATAGCCAAGGGATTACAAAGAACGTTTTGGGTTTTATTTTCAGCTCTGCCACCAATTCTTTCTTTAATACAGTGGATATAAATGCTTCCGTGGTGTTACTTGCAGAGACACCGTTGAAGTTTACTTGCTACTTCCCTTGCTTCCTCTGTTCATCTCTTGCACCCTTTGTTTTAGCAGCTTATTTTACATTTATGCTGACTCTAGCCCAGGTTTGTATAGCCTTGATTAATTTCAGCTTCCAGTGACTCAGAAGGGGGTAGAGGATGTGCTTAGCACTTTAGAAAATGATTGACATTTTGCAGCATAATTCCTGTCCCTCTCCATAAACAGTTTTAGTGTTGTCTGTTGTTTTTTTTTTTTTTTCTCCTCTAAAGTTATTTCCTCTGTGAGTACAGGGGATGTCTTCTGTCATATCTGCATTCTCTCCCAGCTTTCTCCTTTCCTTTCCAATAACCTTTGCTGCTTTCTTACAGGAAAACTTGAGAGCAGAAGTCTAAAATGTTTTCTTTTCTTGTCTTAGATTCTTTGGGAAGAAGAGAGGAAGGAAAAAGGGTTGACCGAGAAACAGTCATTTGTAGATCTTGGATGTGGAAATGGTCTACTGGTTCATATTCTAAACAATGAAGGGGTAAATAGAGTGCTTTTAAAAATAATAATTAAAAACCGGAGATAGTCAGTATTCTTGTTATGCTTTCCTTTTATCTGGCATGCAAATAGCCCAATTTCAATTAATTCATGTGGCTAAAATAGAATATTGTCAATCTAGTTACCAGGAAAAAAATCCTAGCAGAGCTTTAGAAACCTTTCACTTATTTATCTATTTTTATTAGTGCAATTCATTTCAATTCAAGGCTATTTTTCTGAGATAAGAAACTTAAGAGGGAAAAGAAAAAATAATGTTGTAATTTAGTTATACTGTAGACAAAGCAAAAAGGAATTGGGAATCTTATTGTAGAGATTCTCTTTCGCAAGAGCCTTTAAATGAGATTTTTTTCCTGAACTTAACTTTATTGAAGTTGAATTCTACTTGTCATGTCCTGAAAATGTTTTTCTATATCTTTAAAAAAACAATCCTGGGATTTGTTAATTGTGAAAATGCCTAACAACATACTGCGCTTTTGGGAGTGAAAATATAGCAACAGGAAAATTCAGTTTCTTGAGGCATAGTTTCTGAAACAGCAATAACTAAAGGTCAGTGAACAGAACCCAGTGAATTTGGGTCTGTCTGTTTCAGAAAATTGTATTTTCCACTTTTGGGAGAACATGGTAAAATTTGTAGCGGAAATTAGTATCCCCTATTAGATCAGTAGATGTCATTGTGGGGTGGGGGGGAAGTCCCAAGTTCTCCTTGCACAAGCTCTCTAGCCTTGTGTGGCCAGAAAAATTTGATCTAATACAAGATGCTATTTTCCCTGTAGATGTTCCTTTTCATACATCATTAGGTCATCGCTGCTGTAGCACTGACAAACATTGTCGACTGTCAGAAAATCACATGTGTGAGAGTTTTATGAGACTTTTTTAGTTGTTGATTTTGGTTAGTTCTGCACAGGATTCTTGAAGTTCAAATACTATTACTTATGCATTCTTTATTTCTTGCTTTGGTTTCCAGTCCTATTTCGTCTTCCCATCAGTTCAAACAGGGAAAAGTGTGTGTGGTCTCACAGCAGCCTAATTGACTTCAGTAGTTGGAAGGTGGTTCTCCCGGCAAGGACTGTGTAGAATAGCACTCTTCTCTGAGCCCTGTGGGTGCTACAGTAACACTCGCCTTATGAAAGGTTTTGCTATTTTAAAAACAAACA